AAGTCTTCAAACATTGAAACAAACTTAAACTACGATTTACTAATTATCTTAATTCAATCTGACGTTTGTCTTTCTAAAAATGTTATTCGAATTCTTGTTTTATCTGTATTCCAACATTTTGTTTTTACGTTTTGAAATCAACGAAGAGATAGTCTCCCTAAGAAAAAAGCCTCAAGCGTAAACTCACTATATGAATTTAGTGAAATTAAACCTTCTCATAAAGTTGACATTGCACTGGAAGAGTAATAAGCAAGGGAGTGTACCCTAGTACAGCTAAGACTAATTGACCGAAAAATCGTCACTGATCTTGAGAGATATTTTAATAAAAACCATTCTGATACCTACGGTCCTTCTCTTTTTTCTTGGTTATACAACGATTAAAAAGCAGTCCTCAAACATCAAAATAGGTTTTTCTTCCTAAAATTGTTACACGGGTTCTTGTTTGTGAGTGTTGTTGGCTAGTAATCTAATGTTTTTCTACTACGTCGTAAAATGATCGAATGCAATGTCTCCAGTCGACAGATTCACTCATACCATGCATACACATCAACACAAGTTTTACCACTGTTATCATACTCTCCATAATCTTTCCAATCCTGTCCGTACCATATCTGCATCTCTTGGTTGTTCGAAACAGACAACGGATTGAGGATTTTGCGAAAAACCAGTTCAATTGAATTATGGTGATATCCAGGAAGACTGTAGGAATCCCCTTTCAAATCTTCAGTAGGTGGAAAGACAGGTTTCTTATCGGCATCTGTGATGATTGTCATCAAATTTCCTCCATATCCTTGATTAGTGCAGCCCCAGTAGGATGCACCAGTCGTGGGGTTGCAGTGCACCGACCCTGATCTATGAATAAGCTTCATTGTCCTCACTCGTCCACTCTTTGTCAAATTGAAGGAGCCATACAGATTATCTCTGGCTTCAAAGCACACAGGTTCTTCACCATTTATCTTTTGCCAGCTCTCTAAGATAAAGTAGTTTGATAATAGGAAAAGAAGAGTGTTTTAAAAGTTCAACTGTATTTTAAAAATAGCGAATAACAGTCAATGTACTTTGTGAATAGTAACTAACAGTGACTTGCAA